CAAAAGAACTGCATAAAAATCGCATTCTTGAAAGTAGTGAACAACAGTTGTAGAATTTTAACCACAGGTAAAGCAGGGCTTTAACCACAGATGAACTAAACAACAATAATAATAATATAATGCGCTCTTTGCTGAGGTCTTTGGTGACTGTTCTCAAGCATTTCACGACGTTACATTGATTGCCCAGGACGGTCCGGTGGAGGGCTTTGGTTAATTCGGTCATGAACCTACGGGTTCCGTTAGCCATCTAATTCGTTATTTAGATTAAGACTAATATCAAGAGTGATAACTCATTGTCATAGGTTGGCAAAATTGCACATATACACAGACTGTCCTTGCACCCAAGTCCAAATAGGAGCTCCAAGAAGCCTTCGATGACCTTGACAATTGGTCCCAGTCAAATGATTTCACGATCAACATTCAGCATAGTCTTTAGGAAAGGAGAAAAACTCGTAGAAAGCACCGATTAAATGTGTTGCGACAGTGAAAGGCTGTAACCTGAGAGTCTTTCATCAATTAACATCATTTTAGATTTGCACAGGATACAAATGGTTACAAATTTTATATTCAAAGTTCCTAACTAAAGGAAGAGAGGTAGTGCTGGCCACCATCATCACGCTCTACAGCCTATTACAGGCCTTGACCACCCCAATAATGCACTTCCATTGGTCCCTACATATGGCTTTCCTTTTACATCCCTGGACTCCGAGAGTTTGAAGATCTTGTTCTACACTATCAAGCCATCTAATAGGGGGTCTCCCTCTCTTTCTTGTTCCTTCTATATTGGTAAAAGAGCTGGCCATAGTGGCTGCATAGTCTGGGGTGTGAAACCTAATTGCTTGAATACTGGGATCATGGGTTCAAATCCTGCTCAAAGCATTTATGTCTTTCTGTTGTCCTCTGTATATAGAGAGCTTGTGACAGGCTGATACCAAGGAATCCTACCAATCTAGATAGGTTATGTGAGGCGGCCAAATGGAGTAAGTCAGTCAGTAATAGAGGTAGTCAACAAAAGATTAGCAAAAAATACTTACTATATGACCAGTACCAGCATAACCACACAGCCAAACCGAGCAGTTGCCTCAAGCAACACTTTTTTGTTTTTGTTAAATGGAAATTAATAAGCTCTGGGGGTAAATTTACCTTTTTTTTCTCATGGCTGTACCTGTATTAGTTTACAGCAGTAAATGATGCAGAGTGATACACAGACACTGAAACCAGAGAGATGTAGAACGCAAATTCTTGAGACCAATTGCTTGCTACTACTTCTAGGGACAAAAGGAAAATTAAAAGTATTAGAGAAGCATTAAATAAGAATATAATATACATATCACCCCACTTAATGGTACCTGCACCTTGTCGTGGTGGTGGGGCTCGAGTACCTCAGTGATCCCAAGAGCTATGCTGGCGGCAGCATAGCTACTGGTAGGGCCTCCCTAGCCAGATTGGTCGAGGAGGAGAGGTCAGACTAAGACAGGTACCCTGGTCCTCCAGGTTGGGGGTTGGTCGTAAGGCTAACAACCTTGCACCGTAAAAAGGAAAATGTTTTGAAACCTCAATCAAAGCCTCGGATAGAATGGACCTAACAATAGGACCAAATGGAAGAGGAGAATTGAGGAGGCCATGGACCAAATACGGACCGGACAGCCATAGAAGAAGAAGAATATACATATCAATGTTTTCACAGAAAATGAATGGAACAAAATCATCCACTAAGGCAGGAATAAGAATATTGCTCCAAGAACATTCATTGGAATATCAAGAAATAGATAGTCTGGATAAATGTTGGAGTTGGAATAGATATTAATTACAATGCCTGCACCATGAATTCTGTTACTGACAGTGGCATTGATGAAGTGAATTTAAACTAGTCGGCATACTTTAAAAGAATGACGTCACTTTCAAGGTTGGTTTATTTTTATTCATCATAGCCATGCTAGATTGTTACTGCACTTTTGAAAAAATCATATTCAATAAATGTGGAAACATAATCTACACATCATATACAACCGCAGGTCTGAGAATTATCTTTTACAATTTTAAAACTTACAGTTTAAAACACAGATGAAAGATTGAAGAAGATGGAAGTTCTTTTTCATCTTGCACTATATTGTAGATAAGGAGAGTGGGAATCTTTATAAATGTTGATATGTTTATATTAGTATTTATGACTTATGAGGAAAGCTTAACAAATACTAGGCACCATGTTGCAATGGCATCTCAAAATTATGTGGCAACACCTAATTTTATCGGTAATATTACTTGTTCAGAATATGTCAAATTCAAATTATTACTGGCAAACCACCACTTAAAGTTAGAGGTGGCTTCCATCACTGTACAGTAAATCTCACTAATTTGAACTAACAGGGAGATGGGTAACCTGAATTAGTGGACAAAAATTATATAATATAATTATATGTAAATATTTCAAGTCACAGTTTACTAAAGCAAGCACATTTATTTACAATTTACCAATATATGTTAACTTATATGGTACTGGGATATAAATATGGTGAATAGAAAACCTCCCCAACCATATTGTCTTTTCTGAAGAAACTAGAAATTTACTGTTGAGTAATGAGCTGGTCTCAATTAGTGAGGTCTTACTGCATCAGGTTTGTGGAGACCTGCCAGTGAGTATACATTAGACTAAGCACAAGTAGCTGAATGGTGGCCACAAATGGGTTAAGAACAGAAACCTAGAACTATAATGGACTATCTTTAGTTATTTATTATTATCCAGGAAGAAGTCTTAAGTGGGAAGACTACAGTATAACCAGCCCTGAAAGTGACAATGAATATTATTAAAGAAGTATGCAACAATTACATACATGAAATATTCTATTTCATAGCAAAAAACGTTGGTCCCATTAATTTAATAATATGGAGTACTCACATTGTTTTTTACATGTAATTTCTTGTCAGTATTTTACAGGTTATATTTATACTTCAACAGTGTTGTTTTATTACAATATTTGGTTTTTCAATTACATGAATATTATATTGTATGTTCTGGCTGCTTGTAACCTGTGGGAAACACTGTTATAACTTGGTTATGAAAGAAATATCAGAACAAAGAAGCCTCAACCATGTATACTGACATCGAAACACTGTCAGCAATTTAAATGACCTTGGAGTTGCCATAACATAATTTTCTGTATTGTCTATACACATTTTCATCTAATATATCACTTCTGGCAACCAACACTGAAGAGCGATGATTATTTTCAAAATTCAGAGAATGACATGTCACTTTGGTTGATGGGCGATGGTAGTGCATCAACTGTGACACTACGGTGTGTTGAGCCAAACCAAGGCTCAAGGACTGCTTTTAATAACATACAAAACAGACACAAAAAAAGTAAAATAAAGATGAATGCAGCTGGTCCATAACCAAACACCCAAGCCAGTCCCATGCCTACCAACAAGTATGCAATAGTACGGTGACTAGCAAAACTACGCAGGCTGAGACGAGGCGGTAGTACCATTTCCACACGGGGTGCATATTCACTAGTACTATTTTTGTCGTAGGCACGTGTTATCATAGGTGGACACAGTAGTTGACGAGCAATGCACCCCAACAATCCACGCTGCTCATACAAGTGGCACATTTCTAGGGTGTACTGAAACAACATCAGAGGATTTTCAAACATATAAAACTCATCTATGTACAATACCTATATTACAGCTATATGAGCTCTGGGCATAACTCAAAGCCTATTTCCTATCATGCAGACTTCTAGCCATATAAATTTTGTGTTGTTGGTATTATACTTAGGTAATGTAAGTTTAATAACAGGAATGTTCATACATACCATTTCATTCAATTTGGATGTTATCTGATGTAACAGTCTGACAAGAAATGCATTTTCAGTACTCTTAATTGGCTGAAGGTCAGGATCACCCTCATACTTAATACATTTTCTCCGTTCCTTCCAATCTCGCGATGCCAGCAAAGGTGAGACTGAGGTGCTGCCTAGGCTTCGGAACGGAGATGCTTCCATCGAGGTATTTTCTCCCTAAGACAAAACATATAATTTTGTGCGTATGATACAAAATACAAATCAAATTGCAGGCTACAATATTTTTAAATCTATTTAATGTTTAATGAAACTTCATAATGATATGATATTTAAAAGCAATGATCATATAAGTTGTATTTCAGGCCATCAGATAATAATTTTCTTAAACATTTCAACAGGGAATGATTTCTTTTGCACCTTCATTCCTTACACCCTTTCTTCCTTTCCTTTATCAGTTTCATACTTGCAACTCCTTTAGAAGTACTTAAAAAAAGCCTAATGAGGCTAAAGCGGCCCATCCATGTACGAGTCTGGCTCGGCGAGCTTGACTCGTGAGCCGGGCTCGGATATACTTCACCACACATGCACACTTGTAAAATAGTATACTGCCATCTAGTGTCATTACTGAGAATCCAATAAGTCATAAATAGTATCCTATTGTACAATGTATGTGTGTATAAATTACAACTGTTCTGTTTAGTTTCCTGGTTACTGCAAATTCAATTAGAATGCTGTACCACACATCTCTTCTGATTAAAATACTTTTTGAATACATTACAATCACCTAAATAACAACCAATTGCAAAAAGAACTGCAGAAACAGTAAACTGACTTCAGTGCTCAACAATGTTCGGGGGGGAGGAACAACTAAAGCAAGATGTAATATTTCTTCTGCTGCAGTATGTATTGCAATCTGACCACAGCTGTGACTATAGGTAGTTGTAGATTACAGTGTTGTCACATCACAGGACAAGGAAAACAACTCTCCTCTAATAATGCACTTGTTTAAATAATATGCTCAAGTCCGTGACTGAATCTCCAATGACAAATGCCACAACAGAGATTATCCTGGCAGCATTTGCTGGCTCACTCTGCCTTCTAGCGACAAAGACACTTGAAATGTTCTCTTTTTCAGAGTGTATTATGTCACTTCGCTAGTGATTTTGTAGCCAAGTTCTCTCTACAAAAGATGAAATCATTTTTTAAATGTAATATCAATTCTGCTCAAGCAAATCCTAACACATCAATGATATCTTTTCTTATTTGATACTAGAAGTTCAGACTTTGTATACAAAAATGAATCTATAAATAAATAGCAGATATAGTATGGTTGAAGATATTTAAGAAAAATAACCTCTAACAAGCCTGATGTTCCATGTCTTGATGATAATGTGTTACAAGAATTGAATGCATCATGGTCATTTGCAGAACTCACATTAGGCAGTCTGGCAGAGTCAATCTGCAAAGAAATTGGTTAACATTTAATTAATGCATCTGTGATTTTTTCCACGTCCCATTAATCATAATGTTAATTTATTGTATACATAAATTTACTGCTGTATAGCTAATCACACTATTCATCATACTGTATATACTCATATTACATTCTATTGTATATCTTTATATATATATATACAATATCAACAAAATATTTCAAATGAACACTGCTTATATTATTTACACTTTATTTTGTATAACAAGTTTTTGTACAGCTAGCCTTCTTGAGAAAAATGACAGTTTTATTTAAGAGTCGTGTAAAGTACATGTTGTATTGGGCAGACACATACTTAAATTAAACACACCCAAGAACATTTAGAACAGACCCTCCCCCATACCAAATTTAATAAAAGCTGTTGTTGAGTATTTTAAAAGATAAAACATGCAGATGGAGTACAATGTACATTCATCTTATGCACTTTGTGCAAAGAACAAATATAACTTCAGAACTTACACTTTTTCAAATAATAACCATTAATGATCTGAAAGTTAAATTCTTGCTGTTTTCAAATATGATAATTAAGTCATCTGGCATAGAGGGAAGAATAAGTTCACTTAATGCCTTCCACAACTTTCAAGCCTCATTAATCCCACTAAAAATGTTTCAAGGTTGTTTCACAGACATGAGAAAAACTAAACATTTTGCATAAATGTGGTAATAACTATTTATTTACTTTGCAAGATTGTTGGACAGACAAGTTCAAGAAGAGTCAATGTTCTGCATGCCAAAATTTTAATTTCCTATGCTCTGCATAAAAATTCAAATACAGTATCTTGTATAGAAAATCTGAAAAAAATTCATATTTGCTCCTATAATATGCATAGTATAATACACACTGATTTATTGAACTTAACACACTTTTAGCTAGCCCAGAAAATTGTAAACAGCAGGTTTTATTGTAATTATATTATACCTTTACTTTCGGTCATGGATTATTTGCTGCACCTTGTCGTGGTGGTGGGGCTTGAGTACCTCAGTGATCCCAAGAGCAATGCTGGCAGTAGCATAGCTACTGGTAGGGCCTCCCTAGCCAGATTGGTCGAGGGGGAGAGGTCAGACTAAGACAGGTACCCTGGTCCTCCAGGTTGGGGGTTGGTCGCAAGGATAACAACCTTGCACCATAAAAACGAAGATGTTTCGAAACCTCAATCAAAGCCTTGGCGGACCTAACAGAACAGCGGAGGATAGGACCGAATGGAAGAGAAGAATTGAGGAGGCCATAGACCGAATATGGACCGGAGAGCCATAGAAGAAGAAGGTTGTCATAAATACATAAGACTGTTTCTAGTAGCTGCTATAACTTCTGATAGGAAATTACTTGCAGCATAGACTGAATTGTAAACTGTAACTTTCAGTTCTTTGTAATCCACTGTTCTTCCCATATATAAACCTGAATGCTGAATAATATGACAATGGGCAACAAATGGTTAAGCAACAAGGTTCGTTCTTAAGAAACACCACTAACCTCAAAAATGTTGGACACGTAACACAAACATGTTCCCAAATAGGCTGACACCTTTCTTCTTTCTTCCAAGGAGTACTCATCTGAGTCACTTTGGCTGGAGAAGAAGTTCTTCAAAGAAGCAAAGAAACTTGATGAGCGATTCCTTAATACTGTTTCCAAGTGGAGCTGTAGGTTATGGGCAGTTTCAATTGCCCTTTGAATTAATAACATGAACTGGAAAACCTATGTAGAATAGGAAATAAACAAGAATGATAAGATTCATAAAACAGAAAACAGTACATTTAAATTTCTAATCTCCCCTTTTCAATTTCGCTCATAACTTTTTACATTAATACAGTGCATATAACTTCTGAAACAAGACAATGCTACTTATACAATAATAGCAGGTTTGCAAACAATAAAAATATTTCATCACAGAGGAAATGTAGAGTTCCCAATTCTTAAAATAAAACGTGTTTGTGAACATAAGGTTTTCTTTCTCTAACTCAGTATCTCCATTCCAATCATACTTTAGACAAAAGTTTGCAACCAGTTCAGTGTGGGCAACAATGGAAAATATGAAGTTTACTGCAGGCTAATTTTAAGTTGTGATAATTCAATTCAATTCTTTATTATCAGTGTGCTGTATCAACAGCCAGAAGGCCAATTACAGATAGAGCACAGAGATGAGTACACGAACACAATAAAAACATAAAAGGTAAAACAAGCAGAATATAAAATACATTAATACGGAGGATGTTAATATACAAGAAAATTGCAAGTAAATACAACAGCATATTTGTAAGAACAATTTAAATCAATTAAGTAAATTATACTATTATAGAATGTGAAGAAGTGTGACAATTTTTGTCTCAAATATGTCCAAATCCCTGCAGACGACATTAGCAGCTGATGCGCATCTAGCAGAAGGACTGTTTTTGATCAAAGGGCTAAAACTGAACATAGAAAAATCTCTCAGATTCCGAGCAGGGATGCGGAGACTGACAGCTTCCAGAAGGGAAGGACAGCATTTAAAAACGCGGTAAACCTGCGCAAGGAACAGTGCATCACTACAATGCCTTCTCTTATGCAGGGTCTGGAGTTTTAAATACTCTAAAGCATCAGCGTAGCTGTAATGCACTTGGGGGAGGAAATGATAGTAGCAATGAGTAAATAATGATTTACAATGTAATTAATCAAATTACATAACAATTTGCTGAACTCACTGGCCTATAGCGCACTTTGAGCTATTATATACCACCAATGTCATATTTGGTATCAGATATCAGATGTTTACTTTGCACGTTTTAAGTCGGTTCCTCAGTTATGAATTTATCCTTTCCTTACCCACCATTTAATTTCTTGGTGGGAGGTACACTGCCTAATCAGGGTTCTTATTCTACATGATGATAATATAGACACAATATTTATGCTAGTAAAACAAATCAAGAGCAGAATGACCATCACCCTGTCTGCTTTTAATCTTTTATCTCTTGCTGTCTAACAAGGGGTTTATTTACAAGAAATACACACAGCGCCCTGATCTTTCAAGCACGTAAATCCAATCTATGAAACATACATAGTACCTGTGACACAGTCTCAGAACCAAACAATGGCTTGTATTGGTAGCCAGGTCCTTCCAGTTCCAACACTTGCTGACGCACAAGAGCACTCCACTTGTGACCCTGGTGACTGGTTTCTGGACTGCTCGAGCTTACAGAATCATTTGACAGGTGTGCTCCTGACACACCATCCAAACAATGTTCCACTTCTTTTATCATTGTATTCAAATTTGGTTGTGAGAATACCTGTTAAATATACACAGAATTTTTATGGAAAAAATATCTGTTGGTGATTAGTAATGATCAATAGGAGATGGTAGGCCTACATGTAACCCACACCGCTATGTCATGCTGTTCCTGAAGATGAAATTATCCCTGTATAAAAATATTTCACTGTCATTGCTTTACAGTCATATATCATTGAAAGCTAGTATATTACACACCAGTTATTTTTCAGCATATGCAACATACATACAAAAAAAAATTGTTATAAATGGAGCAGCCCCAATGTATTTTAAATTAACCATATTGCAAAATATAATGTCTGAAACTTTTAATTAAATATTTATATACATAATAACTAAGTAATTAACAAACTCCATGGAGGTAAAATTCACTAAGCCAGTAAAGAAAATTCTCTGAAATTTATGGCACCCAAAAGTTCAATTACCATGTTCACAACAGCCTGCCACCAGCTATACATACTCAATTATTGAATTTTATTTCAATAACTGATCTTCTAATATCATTAATTACAAAGTGACCTAATGTATTAAAAAATACTTTTCTCAGCAAGTTCCAAAACTTTTATAGGAAAAAAGTAAGCCCATACATAAAGGTTTATAAAAGCTGTCCATTAGATTACAAAGTTAGGATGCATAATTATGAAATCTCTCGTAATTTAATGTTAACCTTGCCTTCAAAGTGGTGTCCTGTTTCGAGAAAGTGGCAACTGAGTCATGGATGTACAACCATCACATTTTGGTATAGGGAAACAATCATCACCATAAATGAGGTTAATTTATTTTTGGGTCTGGTAACAACAGATTTTTCTTTTAGAAGTCAATTGCCTAATATAACCTTGGCAGCTGAGTGGGGATTAAGTTCATGAATTGATCTGTATATAGGCATGGCTGCTGATTTAATACAAGGAGAAAGACATATTAATTAACAAATATATAGAATAAGATCAAAATATGAGTATCATGTAAAATTACCTAAAATATTACTGTAATCCATCTGAACACAACAGTTTCACTTTATGTCCAGTATTCAATTCGCTTGTGATGTGTTTTGGGCCTTTAGCATTTTCATGTATAGATGGATTACAATAATATTTTAAATAAAACAAGTTAACAGATGTGTTTTGTTTTGTTAAGGAATGAGCCTAACATGCACACAAAGTATCATTTTCATACCTTGGTAACTCGGAATAGCATATGTGCATTTTTGGGAGTTGTAAGATCAAGTCGTTTGAAACGTGGCAACAATTGCCTGAATATAACTGTATAGGAGAGGACATTCTCAGCAATGAAGTTGATCCACTGTCGATCTACTGTGCGGGTATGTTCATCATTATCACGGCCAGTAGGGCTTCGCATATTCCTGTGTTGCCAATCAGTGTAACGCCATGGCTGAATATAACTCAACCAAGTTTCAAGTATGAGACGGAATGAGCTATCAAGAGGCCAGTGATGGATTGTATGTCTCATGAATCCATACAACTTTGCCTGACTGGATGGTAAGATGATCCTAAATAGAAATTTAAATACTGCATTCAGATTTATCTTTAATTTTAATATAAAGCTATAAATACTGGTCAAAAATATTACTCTGTATGCACAGAACACACTAAAAATGCTGTATTAATTATAACAGCCTTTAAAATATTCAAAAACTGGGTATTTCATACAGCCTACATTTTTACACAAAATGAAAAACATGACATACAGACATATTCTTTTTTTTTCACACCACGTAAATTCTAGTTAATTTTAACACAAGAAAACATGGAATGTGTTTAGTACATTTCCTGATAATGCAGGTTCACTCACAAAATCTTGTGCCAGTGTTTGCCAGTTTGCTATGTTAGTTTACAGACAGGAAACTTTTTCACATCACTGTGTGAGAAAAACAATTACTAAGTTAAGGATGTTGTTACTTTGCTTATGCACATTTTAATGTTTGTTACAATCCCTTACAAAACTACAGGCACAAAGCAAAATAATCACTTCCACAATACTCAAATAAAGACAAAATAATGTATATGGTACACATAAACATACACCAAGGGTAACATTCAAAGACTGTAAAATGTTTCTCTTACCATGGATATTTTTATCTCCCATTGTGCATGTTTATCCCAAAAATTTGTGAATTTTAACACCAACCATAACTGTGGTGTACAATACTGAAAGTAAAAATACACCCAACACCACCTCAATGTCAGAAAGTAGATTAAACTCACCTCTTAAGTTCATCCATTGCAGACAAATCACCAATAATGCTGTTTGCAAAGTAGTGTAAATGCTTTACAAGGTTCCTCACCACTCGAATGTGTTCTACAGAGGGCAGCAAATCCTGTGCAACACATAATTATGTTATTGTACATACAGTATTAAAGATATGTTCAGTTTATAATGGCTAATGTTATAAAGAAAACTAAGAAAAACAAAGTGGGGAGGACTATGATGAGTACATTTCTTAATTTCTATTTTATAATAAAAATAAACAATCATACTCAGATATTCTTCATCCAAAATATAAACAGACTGCATATGTTAGGAGGATACAAGATAAATGACACACAAAGAGAACACAAAAATCAGGAACACACCCACAGAGTGACCATTAGACAGAAACAATTTGGAGGTATGAATATATCTATTTGCCTCAATATCAAGGCTATAATCAAAACAAAAAGGTCGTTAAGACAACAAAATAAAAGACACTGTTCAAATATAGAATTTCATAACAAACCAACAAAGAGAAATTTCTCAGTGGTAACACAATAGTTCAAAGAGATAGTAATGTCTGTTAAAATAACAACAATAACCTTATATGGGTTCAGTCAGTGTCAACTGAAAGAATTAATACTGCTACACTATATTTGCAGATGGTAAAATTAAGTACTAAGGATTTGAAATTTTTATGGCAGAGAGTCTGAAGCTGGCTGTCTACATGATTGTAGCAGCATGTAATCTGATAGAAGTTTACCATTTCAGAGGTTCTTGCTGCCTCCACCATCAGAGCAATTATGGAGACTCATCACCCTGATGATGGAGATAGCAAGAACCTCTGAAACACTGATAAACTTCTATCAGACTAAACAACCCAGAAGACAGCCATCTTAGGTTATTAGTTCATGAGACAGTGAAGGTAATGAATTTTGCTAAATATTGCTTTCAATCTATATTCCACATAAGGCCTAAGCCTTAACTCGCTTTTATGACTATAAATGATCACACGCACTGTCTACTCAGTTCTATCACCTCCTTTCATTTTTAAAACTTTTATTTAATGACAGTTAAGACTCAGTGTCTGTTTCTTGCAATGCATCAATTTTGTGTTAATTATTGCAATTTTATTGTTTATGAAGTTTGAGATCCATGTAAAATCCAAAGTCACAAGCATCATCAAGAATTTATTAAAAATATGTGAAAAAGAAATTAGAAATTTCATTGTTTCAGTATTGTTTTATTGAGGAGGTAACTTACTTAGATAAATTATAATTTTAGTTCAAATCTGAGAACATAAACCATCACTCACATCACAAAGATATTAATAATTTGTATGTGTTATATACATTTTCTTCTTACAATAGTGACTTTACTGTTATAATTAAACAACAAATGGCCTTCAACAATCTGACACACCATATTCACATACATTAGCATGACTGAGCAGGTGACTTCTGAAACAGGTAATTTTATAAAAAAGCTGAGCTAAGAACATAATAAGTTTCGTAAGTAATCTTATATTTTGGCTTATACTGAGTACCGGTACAAAACTTTCTTTTCATGACTGAAAATGAGCAATTATTAAAATCTCAACATCAGTTCTCCTTAGCATTAGCAAGTTTTGGAAACCAGCTGCTCAATTTTCTAAAGTTTTGAACACATAAGTACAACAATTATGTGCAGTTATATGATAACACTAAACGGAATGCTCAGCCTTACTCTATCCCAATAAAATTATATTGATTACATGACAATTACAATCAAAGCCTGCATATAACAGTATATCACTATGTAAGCTAATGAAGTCAATAATAGTACAACATTATGTTAAAAGTAAAAATAAAACTGGATTTAATTATAAAGGGTTCTGACAATGGTATATTATCACTGTTATTGGATTTCTGAATATTGTCCATCATCTGGTAATCTGGCAAAAAAATTTGTTTCTGTCTCAAGTAAAAAGATGGGGAATACATATTCAGTTTTGTCCCTTATAAATAGACCAGGCCTTCCTTACCTTTTGCCTAAGGATGGAAACAAATGCAGGTTCTGAAACATCACGTATTTTCCACATACAAGATAATGGACAAAGGCCAGATATCAAGAGTAAATAAGAATGTAGTTAGTTTTAAGCAAATGAATTATAAAAGCAAACATTACATACTGGTACTGAAGAACAACTTGTACACAGAATATAATCTGATGAAGCATAAAAACCCTTAACAGTATTATTGTAGAAGTCATGTGTAATAAAACTCGATCCCAGTGTATTCAAGAATGAGTTGAGCTTCATATCTCATGGCTATGTACATAGTCTTCAACAGAAAAATTACACTAAACCCTTATGCAATGTGCAGGATATGTTCCTCGATATGTATGGTGATCTACACTGGACAAACTTCGTTGTACAGAATTAATGGGAATTTAAAATTTCAATGGAATGTTAGGCCAACTGCTGATGTACTCAAACCACTGCACAGCTTATCTATAATTTTTTTCTCATCTAATGTCATAGCCTTACAATTTTTCTTTGCTTCATTATCACGTTCACATTTACATTTTAGATTCCACAATGCAATATTGCAAACAATAAAATAATACATGTTAACATATAATGTGAGACTGAGACAGACCGTGGGTTACATGTAAGTAGGATTTGAGGTTTTCAGTGGTGAGTCTGAGGATGACTGTCTTCTGGGTTGTTGCACCGTATAATCTGGTAGAAGTTTACAGACATTTCAGAGGTCCTTGTTACCTCCATGAGTGATAATGGAGACAGCAAGGACCTCTGAAACATCAGTAAATTACTACCAGACTACATGGCGCAACACAGAGGACAGCCATCTTCAGGATTACACACAGTTTGAGAGATGAAGAGACGGTAAAAGATGCAGGAGCAAAAAATCATGGGATGACAGTTGAGCTGAATATACGCTCTCTTACATATTACTAAATTAAATAAAGCAAACCAAGTTGGTTGTGTAAAAACACATGCAAAAGCTAAACTGTCTTTAACTTTTTAATGGCTGTGGTATTTTTCATATGCTGCTATAGCGTGTTTGGCAGACCAAATATATATATATATATATATTTTTTTTTTTGGGTTTGGTAAATACTTGTTCGCATTTTCACGCATATATTAGACCTGCATTGGAAAAACTCACGTTGCAGGAGGGTTTACTGTTAGGTGAGCAATAGATGCAACTATAACTGAAGCTAGTCATGCTGACTACTGCAGAAAGTACCAATACTTTGCTCTCTAAAAGCAGCAAACTGATGAGGTATATATTAAAGCAAAGATATATTACAACAGTTCTAACAGTTAATACTGATGTTTTAAACAAATTCAGTTTATAGTTAAGGATAATTTTATAAATTAAACATTTATTTTAATCAATATGACTACTGAAGTAATACTAAATTATACAACGATGTGGGCACTACTTGACCTAAAATGCAATGTACGATTAATATTCTTTAATACTACAAATTTTTAATAAAATGTTGCTTAGATTGAAATTATGTGATTTGTTAATGTGCGTTAAGGAAGGCATGGAACACAACCAAGATAGTTGGTAAGTTGGAAATGTCAGTCTGAAACAAACTAAATACAACTTACAGGATAGTGACGCAAAGCCATGTTGGGTTGAGGCTGCATCTGAATATGAAGGTAACACTGAAAATAAGTATAAGGATTTAACTAAAGGATGTGTGGTACAAATAGTCTAGGAAGCTAAAATACAATAAAGCCTTACTAATTCAGACCTCACAAATTTAGATCACCTATAATTCTTCTTTTTGTATGTATGTATTTTATATATATATATGCAGAACAGATTTTTTCTAAATAAGAATTTAATGATACAGTTTCCCACTTCTTGTTGGCTTAAATAAGTGTCAAAATACACATACAGCATCAAATTTACTCAACTTGAAAATACATATATAATTCAGACTTTTCAGTAACTAAGACTACCTTCTTAGTCCAAATCAGTGAGGCCTTACTGTAAAATATCATACACATAATAAATATATAGGTTGATAATATAATGAAACTAAAAACTAATGAAGGTTGACAACTGATACCAATTCATCTTTATAAAATATTACACAGAGTAGGCTAAAGGTCACCATGCACTGCACAATTCTTCAAACACTGTTAATAGCAATAACAATTTCATCCTGGTATGCTGTGAGTCTGACAGAGGATGCAGAAGCAACAGTCAAGACATGTGAAACAGATAAATATAAATAAAAATGTCACACACTAGTAGCAATTAATGGTGTTGGCAAGGGTAAACACACAAATTCACAACACAAGTAGATGACTGAATTCCAGGCAGATTTTGAAGGCCACTTCATACTCTCATGAGTATACATTTTTTAACTATTAATACTTGTTTTTTGGTTACAATTTCTTTAAACAAAACTTACCAAAACCATCACTAGCAAATTAAATGGAAAACAAAACAGATGAAAAGAAAACAAGTTAAGAAAATCAATACATGTAAGAATTAAATAAAAATGTAACATATAAAAATAACAAACAATAATTTAGTTAGTTTCTCATTTAAGAAGGAATAAAACAAAATAAACTTAATGAAGTAATAAACATACAACTAACCTCTCACAAGGAACATGATGACCTTTTGCCTTTTGTGTACATTTTAAACAAAATTCCCACTGATTAGTATCCATCACTAATCAATTATATGAGTCATTAATTAGTAATTGAACAAGTTGATAAAAATATAACTTTTGTGAAAACTGAACCACTGATAATACATACACAATATTTTATGTTACAGTCTAGCATTACATGGACACAAATGTATTAAACAAGTAGCTTCTAAAACTTTCAGAAGTATAATGAAAGAGCCACTAGGTTGTTCCACAAATTTAACTGTTATAACACTGACAAAATGAATAACTGAAAATTACAAAATTTAATAAATTGCACAGTACAGTAAACACTTGTTTTAACTTCTGGCATTTCTAAACCTTAATTTATTTCAAAGTTTATCTGTTGTTTCTCATTCAACTTTCATGACTGCACCATTTAGGATAGAATAAGCTTACTTTTTCAAGTGACAAGGTCTCCTTAAAGATCAATAGATGAAATCAAAGTATTCTTTAGTAATCAATGTTAGGGACTTATTCGGAAGTAAGGAATGGGCTGTTTTGGTGTTTATATACATATATCCTGACATGCTGCACACATAAGACCAGGTTAAAACTATTGCAGTAAATTTTCTATCTTACAAACTCATTTAGATGCAATAAACCAAATGCAGATAAGCTGCATATAATTCTGGCACAAAGCTCCAGAAAATAAAACATATCACTGCATTTTGTTGTATCACACAAATGTGACCTTTGATTTTCTTATGTATTCTGGCATTTTAATAAATCCAAGACAGAAATAAATTGCAAAGTTATTAAATTTCTATATTTGTGTTTAATGTTTATAAAGAGAACATATCAGTGTGTGTACACTGAACACTAACAAGAAAACACAAGAGAATTGACACCCATAGCCAAAAGAAAATACATCAACTAAAAACAGTGTAAATTTTTGTGGCAACGCAACTAAAGACTGCTTTATTTGAACACTGTACTTGCATACGTACACAATACATTGAGAAAGAAATGAGAAGACACACACTTCAATGTACATGAATCTGATATATCTTCCGTTTTTAAATCCACTACTCTGAAAGTACATTAAAATCAGTATTAGAAAAATCTTTATGGAAAAAGAACAATGCTGATTTTCAAGAAGGTTAATTAAAAGAAACAAAATTCTGGATCCCTTCAAGATACAATGCAATTTAATTATATAGGTTATAATCTGTGTATAATAAACTTGCTTATAACAAAATCAAAAAACATATACTGAAGTTTACAATACAAAGATGATGTTGCTGTATTTAACAAGCTTTGAAAGGAATATATAACAGGCTTCTTAAGGTTCTGACAAGGACAGAAAATGGCCAACAAAACAAATTATTACAGTACTCCTATCCAGAAAACTGGGTGTTTACTACTGGCAACATGCAACAGCAATCACGCACACTTTTAGACTTTCAATCAGAAATATTCTAGAAGTTATCAACAGTACAGTCTGTTAGGAAGTTAGTACAGGTGGGTTAATTATGTAAGGACAGGAAAGGAATACGCCACAAAAATCAAATCAACTTACAGGACACTGACACAAAGCAAAGTTCGGTTGAGGCTGCACTTGACTGTGAAAGTATGAGCTGGATGCTACTGTTGGATAGTAATGCTGAAAATAAGTGTAAGGATTAAGATAAACAGTCACTTATAAAACCTGACAAAAATTACTGCGCCACAAAAATTCTCCAGCACATCACTCCTACATTCTCTACAGAATGGAGATATATTTTAATAGTTGCTTCCATAACAATTGCATCTTAGATCAACATTGTGTGATATTATTTAAATTCCACCAGACACAAGTGTCATATAAAATTATTGTATTTTCTTAAATTCCCAACATGTTGGTCATAGTCACGAGGATCCTATTTTATGAGAGCCATCAAACGCTAACCATTCTCCATATTGGCTCAACAGACTCTATAATTGCAAGATTTCTTTAACTAACACTGACATGTTCAATTTAGTTACAGATTATCTAGGAGATGGAGAGTACCAATACATGTAAACATATATTTTATTTTAAACCCTGCAGTTGAAGAGGTTGGCCCCCAGTTTGAAAACCCTAAAACACTACAAGCTAAGGATTGTCTCCACCATGTATTGTGTGTCACAATGCACAGATTTTAACTTGGGTGTGATCTTTCGCACAGTAAGACCGGCAATGAAAATATTAGAAAGAAGTGGATGCTGGTGCCTGCACATCTGAAAGTCGTTAAATAGAAAACATCCCTGGAACAATACACGTCTGCAATCGTCGACAGTTATTTTAATCCTGGCAAAAAACAACTGCTAACAGTAAGGATTTTTGATAGGTTCACTTGGGAATATGGAAGTGGTGGTAAGTTTTCTTTCATAGTTTGCCAGGAAACAGGTGGAATTGCTTCGGTGTTAAGGGTTAAAAGATGTTTTCTTATTTCAAATGTCTCCGCAGGCAACATAACACTGTGCCGTGGGCAACATGTTGCACACGAGCTACAGGTTGGGTGAGCCTGCCCTAGAACATACTAAAATTGTAATATAACCTAGTTTAATGATCTTCATGGTCCTTCTATCTAGAAATGGATTCAGTCTTCAGTTACATTAATACCATGACACAGTTGTATACTGCTAATTTTAGAATCAGATGAAGCAGGTTAACAGATCAGTAACACAACTAACTTAAGGACTCAGTCTATAAGAGAAATGGCTCTTCTGAATTAACTTTTCATTAATCCTTCCAGGAAAATGCCCAGCCTTCAAAAAAGTCATAGCTTAATCTTATCAAATCCTTTCCTACTCATATCATATAATTCTGCAGTTGAAACAACATAATTAAACAACCTATGACTCAAGCCAGTACATTAAAACATGTGGACTAAGAAAACAAAAGAGAGACAAATACTTTACCATAACTGAATGTTAATTTGTACCACAGATAGCAATTATTCAATTTTAACTAATAACAAAATCTCAAATAGGAGATTCTGTAGCTTAATAATACCTTCCCTGAAATAAACTATGTATTATATTATTCACTTTATTATCTGACAAGATAGCCAGACAGGATGGACAATTCATAAACAGTTGTGAAACAGTGTATAAAGACTAAAACAGCACTAATTACACAAAATATGAACAGTAAAACTGACAGTTTTTGTTTTATCACTTTGAAACAAAACATTTAATTACATGAATATAGCATCATATTATATCGCAACTGAACTGCAAGGTTCTCAAATTTCCTCACACAATATTAGGAAGTGCCGTCACAGTGGCTGCGTGGTCTGAGGCGTGGGCCTTGTGCCACTTGGTCCCTGGGACCGTGGGTTCAAATCCCACTCAAGGCATGGATGTTTGTCCGCGTCTTTCCGTGTTGTGCTGTCCTGTGTACAGGTAGAGGCCTTGCGATGGGCTGATCACTTGTCCAAGGAGTCCTACCAACTGTCTAATATATCAAAGCCAACGAAAAGTTGGGACCCGCACATGCTCAAGGCACTGAAGAACGGGTCACCTAAGTGTCCTAAGTAGGTAATATTAGGAAGTAGGTGGCTGCAGAATATGATTTACTGGACAAAATAATTAATATATAACAAATATGCTACACGGAAAGAATATCTTATGGTTTGAGAATATCACATCATCTAATTCTATGTACATGCATGGATGCAACCGACTTCTGAAGAAATAAAAATCTACTCTACAATTTGCCCCCATTTAAATTAAATATATCACCATCAAAAGCATAGCATTCACACTAGTTAACTTCACAAAAAACAGAATACAATTAACTTTAATAATTTTATTTTTTATTTGTAGTGTTCCGTCTGCCGACAGGTCCATATGAACAGGATCCTTCCATCCTTTTCTCGGACTGGGACCTGTTCATATACGTTCTTGGCAGATGATCCAGAAGTGGTTTGCCATTGCCTTCTTCTGTGTGTGAATGGAGTAATTGTTGGGATGCCACGGAGAAACCGGGGAAGCCCACGGAGGAAAACTCCGTGTTGCCTAGACCACGGCCTTGCCCAACACAAGTTATAAATTCGGGCACCGCCGGGAATCGAACCCGAGACCCCAGGATTACAAGGCCAGCCTTCTAACCGCTAGACCACCGTGGCACAACTTTAATAATAAACCATCATAATTATGCACAAGTTTAAGAAGAGAGGAAACAACAATGTGATCTTTAATCTTTACCATATAAATGCGTAGTTAAAATGGCCTTACCCTAGATGGTGTCGCAGTGCCTAGGTATGACATATCTCTCTCTCCATAACTTAGCCAGAAGTCTATAAACACCTGAATCACAGATTCACTTCTCCATATCTCAACAAGAGAACTTTGCTGTGGCAAGGATGGGGATGAATGTAGTGAACTTGATGTACTGCCTTGCTTCAATACAACTGACTGTCGAAATAATGTCGGGGAACGGGCAGGCCTTCAAAGAACCAATAACATAACATTAACACATTGCACCACAATGAATGAACTACTAGAACAATGACTTTTACTCCATTCAGGCAATAATAGGTAAACTTTCAATTTAGTTTACTTAGTGTGACTTCTGATTCTCAGAGCAGAGAGTATGAAGGTGACTGTCTTCTGGGGTATTGTATTCTGTGACAAAAGCTTACTGGTGTTTCAGAGGTATTTGCTGCCTCCATCATCAGGGCAATGAGACACATTGCCCTGTTGACGGAAGCAGCAAGCATCTCTGAAACACTGGTAAACTTCTACCAGACTACATGATAACACCCAAAACAAAAGTCATCCTCATGGTAATAAATTGTATAAACATGTATATACAAAGACTCAGGACACACACAAAGTTCATTTAGGCTTGCATGTAAAATGGTCCTTGAAATTGTCTAAACTAAATCAAAATAAAAACTGCTTGAAAAAACTATGAAGGTCTACTTTGACTGAAATCAGCCATGCAGTTTGGACCATGGTACAGGTAAATAGTAACAGGTGGTTTCTGATATTGATTCTTTAAACCCATCTTAACATTAAACCATATAATACAAAATACAACATAGTGTCTAAATGCCAACCTGCTCACTGCTTGAAATGACACTGAGCTTTTTGGATATATGTAACATCCAGCATATGGCAGCACTGAAGAACCATCACTTGGCAAGAAGTGTACAAGGTACTCTTCTGCAAGATGTTTGTACACTGTCTCCCACAGAGACCACGAGCCATGGTCCATCACTCTCTGAAGCCATGGGTTCACCAGATGATATGCAAAGTGGAATATATAGAACTCAAAGGAATCTGAACAACAATGTTTAGTGAAAAAAAATATATTTACATAATTCATCCTACTGAGACTATTATCATTTGAAAACATAAATATCTATGGCCAGTATACTGGCAGCTGTATGTGAATTTCCCTTGTGAAAGTCTACACATAAATTTAAATACCCACAAAATGAACTCGGTCTTGCTAAGTTGTACATTGATTATTTAAAAGGGAACAGTAAAGTACTTAAAATTATTTATTGTCAGGACTTTTTCCATCGTCTGTTCTTTAAAACCAAGACGTTTCGGAGGCTGGTTCTGTCTCCGTCTTCAGGTGAGAGGTACCTACTCTGTTGGGTCCCTTAGATAGAGCTAGTCTCTGTCACTGGACAATATAAATCGTGCAATTATTTCAACTAATCCACCCAAGTACGGGTTCTGCACGATTTATATTGTCCAGTGACAGAGACTAGTTCTATCTAAGGGACTCAACAGAGTAGGTACCTCTCACCTGAAGACGGAGACAGAACCAGCCTCCGAAACGTCGTGGTTTTAAAGAACAGACGATGAAAAAAGTCCTGACAATGAATAATTTTAAGTATTCCGCACGTTTAGGGTAAACGCGGCACATTCCACGGAAGCATCGGTTAAGTCGCCTTACTTTCTTCCGACTGCGTCACATAATGCCGAAACTGAGAATATCGCTGTCTCTTCAAGTTCCCAACATTCTAAGCTTCAACGAGCAGGCATTTGAATTTCCGTCCCACAACACTGCTGTGGCCGACCAGTCTCCAGTGAGACCATCTACGAATACGATGTGCGATCGGAAAGTTTCAAGACTGCGCGTATAAAAACCCGTACACTTATCTCATGTATTAAATTCATCCATCACCCTCGAAGTAGTTCCCCTGGGAGTGAACAAAACGATCCCAGCGCCGCTGCCATGCCTGGAAGCATCCCTGGAAATCTTTCTTTGTCAGCCTGTCAAGCACCATCTGCGATTCTGCCTGAATCTCTTCTATCGTCTCAAATCTCCTTCCCTTTAGCTGAATTTTCATCTTTGGGAAGAGGAAGAAGTCACACGGAGCTTAGAAAGGAAGTTGGGGTCGGTTCTTGCAAGATCTTTGAGCTCCTGACAAACGAGAAGTCGATTCTGCTTCTGGTCGTCAGACTACCAAAACGCCCGTAACTAAGAAACAAATGCTAATTCGATGATGCCGGCTGGCACACTGATTCACTATGAATGTAGGCCGCACCCCGTAGCGGCAGAAGCTCGTACTACATCCGGTTCGCCCTCTATTGACACAGTCTGGAAACTTTCCGATCGCACCTCGTAAACTACCGTCGTAAAAACCTTTTAGAATTGAAATGGAACAGTAAAGGTTAATACTCAGCATACCAGCAGTCAGAGATAAATAACAGTAAAAACAATTCTAAGCTAAAACCAAATCACAATTTTTAGTTGTGTATGGTTCCATACAGAAATTTAAATTTTACTGATAAACCATTTGTTACTGTCAAAATATAAAATATTCCATGTGTGTGTATAACAGATTCATCTAAATTTATTAGCATATAATCCTGTAAAAATAAAAGCCTCTGATAGTTCAAGTCTCCATAGTAATGCAAATCTATACTGAACATGGTTGAATAACTAAATGAAATGCCATCAGCTAACATGAAGATCCATTTCAAAGTTAAAAGGCCAATAGTCAGACAAAACGTTCAGCAACATTCTTTGCTATGTGGATGAACAACATACTTTGGGCTTGCTAATACAGTTAATTTTAAAGATAAGATTTAATCCTATACTATGTTGTTATCACTGTTAAGGAAGGATACTCAAAGTTAATGATATTGGCACCCTTGTTTGAGGGTCAAGCTGCACTTTATTACTGTAGAAGGGAGGCACCATTCCATCTTCAATCTGCTTCCTTACTTTTCCCTGTTAAGTTTAAAAACAAGATTTTACACAAACAGATTAAAACAAAAATATTAACTGTATGGCCTATAAAAT